GCCCCAGCCATTGCAGCTCCCTCTGTCACTTCATCTACGAAGACAGCTTCTCCACTGGAACACATCCTACAGACTCTCTTTGGCAAGAAGAAGGCCTTCGAGCCCTCTGCCCGGGAGCCTGCCGGGCCTGCGCCCACTCCCCAGCCAGCCGCCCAGCCCCAGGGGGCCGGGCCGCCCACAGTGCCCTTGTTCGACCCCATCGTGCAGCAGTTCGGGCAGCTCGCAGACGACAAGGCTCTGGAGGGCGAGGAGGACGATCGGCCCTACGACCCCGAGGAGGAGTATGATCCAGAGAGAGCCTTCGGCACTCGGCTCGCTGAGCGCGGGGGACACCATGACGCCGATGGGGCTCCTCCAGAAACCACCGAGAGGGAGGAGGTGGCCTACGACCCCGAGGATGAGACCATACTAGAAGAAGCCAAAGTGACTGTCGACGACCTGCCCAACAGAATGTGCGCAGCTGCCGGAAGCACCCCTGCGGACGGGCCGGCAGCGGCCCCCGCCCCCTCCTTGGCCGAACAGCAGAAAATGCTGGAAGAGCTCAACAAGCAGATTGAGGAGCAGAAGCGGCAGCTGGAGGAGCAGGAGGAGGCGCTGAGGCAGCAGAGGGCCGCCGTCGGCGTCTCAATGGCCCACTTCTCCGTGTCGGACGCCCTGATGTCCCCGCCACCCAAGTCAGCGCTGACCAAGGCCGAGCGCTTTCAGCCAGAGCAGCTGGCCCCAGCCGAGGCAGCTGTGCTTGCTCCCGCAAACCAGGGGGCCCAGGTGGCCAGCCAGGGCGCGGACCCGAGACTGAGCAGAGACCCACGGCAGGCAAGGCGCTTGGTGGCCGAGAGCGGCCAGGGTGAGCTGCTCCTGAAGCCCCCGGCAGACGCTCGGCCTGCCCCGCCTTCCAGAGAAGCCTCGGGAGGGGCTGCCCTGGGGCAGACCTTGGTGCCCACCCCGGAAGGAGAGGAGACCACGACACCTCCCTGGGCCCCGGGTGAAAAGGCACTGTCCGCGTCAGAGCAGGACAGCCGCAAGTGTGAGCCCCTGGGGACTCCCGCCCAGCAGCCTGCGGGGAGCTTCCCTGCCGCCATGGCCAGGCCTGCCAGGAGAGTGCTGCTGCCCACGCCCCCCGGCGCCCCCTTCCAGCCTGGCTTCCCTCTGCAGCCCGAGGGGCAGGGCCAGGGCCTCCACCCCGCTGTGGCAAGGGACCCTTTCTCCTGCCCGGTATTCCTGTCTCAGGAAAAGTCTCTAGGTCCCACCCAGTATGAGGCCCCCAGGAACTCCGCTGGGAAGGGTGACAGCCTAGCAGCTGAGACGGAGGGGGACAGAGAGCCACAGTCCAGACCCGGTGAGGGGACCACCCCACTCCCCCAACCCGGACAGAAAGGTGAGGTCCCTCAGCCCCAGTTTCAGGGCCAGCGTGAATTGGGACATCGCACTTACGGGATGTCAGGACCTCAGGGGCCCTCCACCTTCCCAGGACCAAGAGGGCCAGCCCCCTCGTTTTCAGAAGAGAACAGTGTCTGCGGTAATGATGGAGCCAGGGGGCCTCCACCAGCCCGGTTCGGAGCCCCGAAGGGGCCCATCCCTTCCTTGTTTTCGGGGCAACACGGGCCTCCTTATGGGGATGGCAGGGGCCCTTCGCCCTCCTACCTTAGCGGGCCAAGAGGAGGAGCACCAGCCCAGTTTGAAGATCGCAAGGACCCCCACGGGGAGAAACGGGAATTTCAGGACACCCCGTATAATGAGACGGCCGGCCCCCCTGCCCAGTTTGAAGGACCAGAGCAGGCCCAGTTTATGGGGAGCAGAGGCCCAGCCCCTTTCCAGTTTGGAGCCCAAAGAAGGCCTCTGCTGTCTCAGCGTAAAGGGCCCCGAGGAGGCCCCCCTCCATCTCAGTTTGGCGGTCAGCGAGGACCACCCCCTGGCCATTTTGTGGGCCCGAGAGGGCCCCATCCCGGTCAGTTCGAGGCTCCCCGAGGCCCCCATCCCGGTCAGTTCGAGGCTCCCCGAGGCCCAGCACCAGGCTTCATGCCAGGCCCCAGGGGAATTCAGCCCCAGCAGTTGGAAGAGCAGAGGGTGAACTCCCCTCCGCCGCGGTTTGCAGGCCAGAGGCCGCCAGCCCCCCTGCCGTTCGGTGGGCCAAGGGGCTCTGCACCCTTTTCTGACAAGAGCGAGCAAGCGCCTCCACGGTTCCACTTCCAAGGCCAGCCTCCACAGGGGGCAAAGCCGGCCCCCCGGCCCCTGCTTGAGCTCCCGAGCCACCCTCCGCAGCACAGGAGGGACCGGTGGGACGAGGCCGGGCCGGCCTCCACGCTGCCCAGCAGCACATCCGGACAGGGCCCAGAGGCCGACGGGCAGTGGGCGTCCTCTGATTTCCGGGAGGGCAAAGGCCACGAGTACAGAAACCAGACTTTTGAGGGGAGGCAGAGGGAGCGGTTTGAAGCCGGGCCCAAGGAAAAACCGCTGGATGAGCCCGAAGCCCCGGTCCAGGAGAGCCGGCCCGGCCGGGCCTTCGAGGACAGGCGGCGGGGGCGCAGCAGAAACTGGAGCCGTGAGAGAGACTGGGAGCGGGGCCGGGAGTGGGGCCGCCACCGAGACCGGAGCACGGACAGGGACAGGGAGCGGGGCCGGAGCCGCGAGAGGAGCCGGAACCGGGACCGCGACCGCGCAGCAGACCGAGACAGGTCGCGGAGCCGGGACCGGGACCGGGACCGGGACCGTGAGAGGGCCAGGGACAGAGAGCGCGAGCGTGGCCGAGATCGAGACCGCAAAGACCGGAGCAAGAGTAAGGAGCGCACGCGGGAGCCGAGGCCCGAGGCCACCGCCCAGACCTGAGGCCCGGCGACAGCCACCGTGGGCACCGAAGACCCAGAGCCGGTCACGTGCGTGTGCAGCCGCAGCCTGGCAGACACTTTTTAAAGTCGAGTTCCTAAAATGTGTGAGCAAATAGTTTTGAATCAGTTACGAACTTAGATGTAGGATAGAACGTTCTGGACTTGAGAAATTACTGTAATTTTGTATATAATGGTTTCTTACCGAATTTCACATCTTTACAATTCTGATCTTTTAAAAAACAAACATAAGAACTCATGTATTATTTCCATTTAAAATTATGCGAATGGAAAGTGTCTACAAAAGCATATTGCTTCTCCAGATGATAAAGTTATCTTTTCCAGTAACGTGGCTATTGTAAATGTTAGGGTTCCGGTGGCCCTCAGAGCCATCCCTGTACTGCCACCTCCCCCGCACTCTGCCTGACGCTGTGTATGGGTCTGGAGGGGCCTGGCCAGTTGGGGTGGACGCGCTCCAGCCCCCACCTGGGGTGCCGCGGAACACAGCATCGACAAAGGCACCTGTTTTCTGAATTACACGTCTGAACCAGGAGGTGTCTTGGTTTTCCTCAGTTCTTAAATAGCACATTTTTTTCCCCCAAAACATGATTAAAAGCAACATCCGTCCTAGTAGAAATTGTTCCATTTTAAATTACAATTTGTTGAAAAATGTTTAGATTTCACCAACCCTAAAGGATATGAGAAGACAAACCAATTAAGTGTACTTGACAAGTGTGGGGGAGGGAGGGGTGGTTTGGATAATCAGGAATGTTTCGCCTGTCGAATTTTACCACCCGAGTGGTTCTTCCTGGCCCCCAGGAGCAGTGTGCTGGCCTCCAAACTGCTGCGCTTGCGGTGGCTCGCAGAGAAGCTAGCCCTGGGAACTCAGCGGGACGCCTGGTCTGGGGACTGGTGAGGGCCACCCCAGGGCCGCAGACGGAGAGCTGCGGTCGGCGGCAGCACAGGTCTGAACTGTGAGCGGAGTGGCGGGCAGATGGATTGGACTGCAGATACAGTTCAGTCACTTTTTATACTTCTGTGAACTTCTGCAGGTGTAACAGGGGGTTTCGTTTGTTCTTTGGAGTCCGTTGGTCCATGTGCATCACTACAGGGTTGTCCCGTTACGGCACAGATTTTTAAGTTGCGAAACTTTAGGGGGTAGCGGTTGGGGCTGGTCATAGGTTATACAGTGTAGGCGTCAGTTTGCGGCGTCTAGTAGGACGTGAAGGCTTTTCCATAAGCAGATTTCTGATTTAAATACACACATGTAAAAGCCGAGTATGTCTCCGTAGCATGCGTGGTCGCAGGCCTGCGCACTGTACTCTGCAGCGCAGAGTGTGTCGCTGCACAGCACAGCGACTCCTGGGCTTGTCACCTGGAGTAGAACAAACATCTGCAGAGACCTCTGTCCAGCCTGCCTCAGCCTCCCCCTTGAACGCCGCGTGGGCACCCGACTGCGCGGTCTCCTGCTGGTGTGCGGGGTGGGGGTCCTAGCCCTCCCGGACTTGCGGCTGGTCCCCGCATCCGTCCCTTCAGCAGGTGACCTGACGCCTGCCAGGTCTGGTGGGCTCCGATTGTGGCCCCCTGGGACTGCAGAGAGCTGCCACCTCTGGGACTACTCCACCCGGGAGACCACGTGCAGCCTAGGGGCCGGGCAGGGAGGAGAGCGGTGAGGTGAGAGAGGGTGCACCAGGCAGGTGGCGTGAGTGTCTGGGACTCAAGGCAGGAGAGCTGCCCAGACCCATGCATGCTCTGCCAGGAGGAGGGCCACTTGGGCTGGGTGGGTAGGCCTGGGTGGCAGGGGCACTCGGCTCCCTCCAGACTAGACCTTGGGGCCTCAGCACGCACATGCGCCCACAGGCCTTGTGGACAGTGTGGCCAGGCGGCCAGTGGCTACCGTAGGGGGGAGGGGGGCACTTCCCGGGGACCCTTCTGGAGTCCCAGCTGTGGAAACCACTTCTACAGGTCTATCACCTCAGAAGGGCGGTGTCCTGCTCGGGGTCTGGGACTCCGGTGGGCAGCACAGATGCAGGTCTCAAGCCTGCGCTGAGGCCCTGCAGCCAGGCTGCCGAAACAAGAACAGAAGGCAGCACAGCGCGGCGCGTGGCTGCCGTGCGCGGACGGGAGGCTTGCCCTGCGCTCGTGGCAGACCAGGTACCCCAAAGCGTCCGGGACGACCCGTCCCCATTTTTGCATGCAGGCCTCAGAGGTCTGTCTACTCTAAGCCTTGTTCTCCCGCACCGCCACCACTGCTCCCCGCCCCACCCTGTCCAAGGCGAGAGCGTGCAGTCACCTGCAGGGCCCACCAGCTGTCCTGGTGCCAGCTCACCTGCGGAACTGCTGTGGGTAAGGTGGGGAGAGCCGCCTCACTGGGCCCCTAAGGTGCTGGCCATCTAACCTGGGCAGTGGCCAGGTATCCTCCCTGCCCACATCCCCCTGCAGGACCTCGGCCACGTGAGTCCCATACTATCACTGGGTCCCGGGGCAGGGTGAGTGGTGGGGACCCTGGTCCGACCCTGCTCTGGACAGGGCCTGGCCAAGAGGGAGGCTAGAAGTACAAGCCAGCCAGCCACCTCGGGGCTCAGGTGGCCAGGGCTGGGGGCTGCTGGCCACCCCTGCCCCCACTGCAGTCCAGGTCTGCAGGATGCTGAGCAAGGAGGACAAGGAGAGCTGCCGTTAGCCGCTGCAAATCCTCCCTTTCCCCCTCTCTGCAGCTAAGTTTCCTTAAAACTGGAGTCATACCCTCCTTGGGCTCTGTTTTCTCTTGTCATCATATCCTGGCTGATTCCTGAAGGCATCAAGTATTCAACAAGAACACTCATTTTCATTGCCAAAGGGCATGTGCTTGCCAGAGAGAAAGCGCTCCCACTGGGGAGCGGACACAGGGCACACCCAGCTCGGTTTTTCAAGCCTCGGGCTCAAGAATCGAACTGGAGTCAGCCACGTGGGATCAGCTCCCTTAACCATAAGGCTACAGGGCCAATCCTCTACATTCTGCTTCTCCAACACTGCTCCTCCACTGGGGAGGCTCTGCGTGCCCCCGTGGGGGTCGGGGAATGGAAGGGAGGCCCCTGGGGATGGCAGCCCGCTCTGTGGGTGCCGCTGCTGGCCAGGCCTGCGGGCACAGGAGACGTGTGTGATGGTTCAGATCCCTGGAAACACACCAGGCACGCACACAGGCCAGGGCCCATGGGGCTGGAGGGGTAGGGAAGGGACTGATGTGACTAGGTTCAGGGGAGGGTGCGTGCCTCTCACTGTCGCCTTGCACATGTGTTGTATCATGCAAACACAATGGGGAAAAAATGGAAAACCCAACCAACAGGGATGTGAACACCTAAACGCGGAGGTTTGGGGTGTAGCCTGGAGCCCCGGTGGGTAGTGCACTCACAGTTCCAGGGCCAGCCAGAAGGCTGTCTTGCAGTCGGTCACAGCCTCTTTCCGCAGCCGGGCTGTATCACACTGCGGGTCCAGCGGAGGGAGGCGGAGGCTGAGGAGGCTCCCTGTGTGAATCAGGTCTGTGAGAATGAAAACCGTGCAGCCAGCAAGGCTGCCACACCAGAGACACGAACAGAGAGCTGGTGGAGATGCAGCAGCTGGACCGCGGGCCCGGCGGGGTGGCAGGCCAGGTCTGCCCGGCAGAAAGGCAGGCAGTTTCCGGCCAGGTGGAAGTTCAGATACCACAACCCAGCAGTCCCTGCCCAGACGTTCACCCTAGGGCCTGTGCGGTTAGGAGGCAGACTCACCCCTGGAGCCAACGCTGGCTCTGGGGGGTGGGGGTCGCTACTGGGATATAGGTCAGCAGCTGGCCCCAGGGCCCCATGCTGAGACTGGCACACGGAACCTGCAAACCACAGGTCAACATGTCAAGCTGGGGCCAGAGGGCGAGGAAGAAAACACACCTACAGAAGTTCTAAGAGAAGCAACAAGATTTTTTTGTTTGTTTGTTTAGAGAGAGGTTTTTGCTATAGAGCGTGTGCGCTTGCTGGAGAGACAAAGAGACAGAAAGCGAGAAATCATCGGGGGTGGAGGAGGATGGCTACACCGCAATCCCTTCTCCTCCAGTCTCCTCGCAGGATTTTGGGGCATGCAAGCACACGAGCCTGGCATGAGTTTTAAGCTACCAGGTCCTGGCCTCGAGCCATGGTCAACCATGTGGGAGTCCAGTGACATAGCCATTACGCCATCTGCTGGTTTCCCCAGCAAGAAGCTCTGTCCTGGATGGATGGAGCTTTGTTTGAGCAAATGTCGAGTGACTTAGTCACGGAAGCCCAAGGCAGGACACAACCTAAATGTTCTCTGCTCAGTGACTAGGAGCTGCGGCCTGTCCAGCCACAGCAGCTCTGGGAGCAGGAGCCTTAGCTGCACCCACAGCGGCCCCCAGGCCTCACGTGGGTGCTAGGGAGAAGCCAGTCCGGGCCTCAGCCTGTGCGACTCCAACACCCACCCTGGCGGCCCGGAGCCAGCCACAGAGGACACACACAGGAGGTGGCAGGTTGCCCCCGGGCACCTGGTCCTGGGACGGCCAGGGCAGGAAGGTGGCTCAGGCAGCAGCTGCCAGGCACTGAGGCTGACGCTGCAGGCTTCTGTACACAGGGTGTGTGCGGTGTGCTGGGTGTCATGGCACCCATGCGTGACAGGTGGCCTGTTGTCAAGCTGTCCCAACAAGAGCCATTCTCAGAAGGAGAGCTGTGGTCCTGGGGCCCGCAAGGACCTGCTCCCGCCCCATGCTGCTGCTCATCCTTACTGGCGCTGTGGCTTCTAGGCTTTTCTGTGTGGCTGTCAGCTGACTGCGAGTGAGGACGGTCATAGGGCCACGCTCCACTCCCAGCCCGCACCTCTCCTTCCCCTGGCCTGCTGCACCGAGGAGAAACCCCCAGTGCTCTGTGGACAGAAGTGGAGACGGGGGTCGCCATCCTCCTCATGTCCTGGTTTGCAGAACTCTTACCAGGTATAGATGTGAGGCTGTTAAATGTTTGGCGTTTTTTTCCCAAGATAATTATGGCTTTCTATCTCTAAAAAGAAAGAAAGGAAGAAAGAGAGAGAGAGAGGGAGGGAGAGAGAGAGAAATGAAAAGAGAAAGAAAGAAAGAAGAAAGAAAGGAGGGAGGGAGGGAAGGGACCAGCAGATGGCGCAATGGTTATCTTGCTGGACTCTCATGTAGTTGACGGCAGTTCAAGCTCTGGGCCCGCTGGCTTAAAACACATGCCAGGCGTGTGCGTGTGCATGTGTGTGAGCATGCATGCACACACTCAAAATCCTGAGAGGAGAATGGAGGCAAAGGGACCGTAGCACACACCCAACGGCAAAAATATATCTTAAAAAAGGAGTTAATTATGGCTTTCTCTCTCTCTCTCTGTTAAGAATTATGTTATGTTACTTATTTATTTATTTGACCAGAGAGAGGCTGAGAGTGAGAAAGCAAGCTGCCAGGTCCGGGACTCCAACCAGGGTTGGCCATCACATCAGCTGCTAGCCCTGGGAGTTACGGCTTGCTATTGTAGTTGTTTGCTATTAAAATTTACATTAACTGAATTTAAAATGTTTGAAAAAACTTGTACCGCTGGCATAAATTCCACTTGATCTTTATATGTTTTCCTTAAAAATAAAAAATCCAGGGCCTGCACCGAGGCTGAGGGG